GGGGAACCAATGAAAATTTTTTCATGTAGCATTATTCCGTGGAGTGTATATTGAGTCGAATTCATTAAACATGAGTCTTCGTTGGCTTTGTTAGGATAATCTAATTAGAAGCCAAGTCATTGAGATCTTGTATGAGAAATAAATTTAGTTTATTTGATTGATTCTATGGACATTATGGCTTGTGCCTATTTTGACTCGGAAAATTTGTTAAAATACGCCACATTGAATTAGATAATGTCCTACTGCACCTTTGTCAACTTTTACCATTTTTTGTCTATACTATTTTTAATGAAAATATAAATAATTCAAAATAAAAGGTTTTCAAAGTTTTTAAAGATCTGATAATTATAAACATGTTATGAATAGTCATTTGTATATAATTTTATTATTTTTAAGATAAAAACCATGTTGAAAAATGATTTCAGTTTTTCCTTTTACGGCTGCCACAATTCGTTAGATTTAGGATTCTGCCTATTTCACCTCTATCTACCGARGGTAGAATTTTGGTTCTGCGTCATACTCTTGTTGGAATAAGCTTGTCTTATTCAATTGAGAAGAAAGAATCACTTGAGGAAGAAGGAGAAGAATCTGGATTCTAGAAATGTCGAGACCTGCAACAAAGAAGAAGAAGAGGATAAGGTTAATTGATCATGTGACAAGCACATGACTAGAGAAATCAAAAGTCTCGATGATATAGAATATTACTTATATTCTAATGGGAGATTATTAAGTATTATTTTCTTATTACTTAGAATAAGGCAATTTTCTTTTTAGAAGAATGTTAAGACTTTATGCTATAAATAATGGATGTATGCCTAGAGGAGAAACAACTTCTTATTCGATTAATTCAGAGCAATAAACAAGTTTTTGGTTTTCAATCTTTCTTTTGATATTTTGATAACTTCACGTTTTATTGTTCTTAATCACAAAATCCAACAACTCTACGTTCTACATTATTGTAAAATATTAGTTCCACGACTTAGACTGACATCTACCAAATCCAGATAGTACATTCTACTATTCTTAATATATTTTACCGTGTCGTGAATATAGTTTCTACCGCAATGTTTACCACTTTGTCTACCATCTACCGATTCGTAGAATGTAGTTTCTGAATAATTTTGTTACCTAAAATGATTTATTTTTATATATTTCTTTGTAAAACACGTTTTCATGTAATCTTCTTCTTCTTCCTCGTGTTTCTTTCTTAGAAAACACGTCTTCTTGTTTATTTCTTCATTTGTGGTTCCTTTGAATTTTGTCGCATATAGTTTCTTCGTTTTGGCTAATATGTTGCATATCTATGCGACATGTGGCGAATGGGTCTCCAATGAGGGACGAATGCTGTTGATGAAGAAAAAGGTGGTAGATTACTGGCTTTGGAATCGACAACTACTATTGACGAGCTAAAGACTATGGTGTCAGAGGATTCCGGAATTGAGCAACGCGATGTTATGATCGAGTGTAGTTTTCTACCTAGGGATTTGATCAACAAGTTAGCGTCTCCTCTAATTATCATCTCCAATGATCGCCAAGTAAGAAATTTTGTTGCTTACATTAGGAAGAAAACATCGACACAGCTGTCATCGTGGAGGTCACAACAGAGCGATATGTGGAAGGTGAAGAAAACGAAGATATGAATCAATTGAAGACAAAATACGATCGTCGCAAGGACCAAAAGGGTCGAAGAAGCACAAGTGCAGCCGGTGTCATCGTGGAGGTCACAACAGAGCGACATGTGATATGGCAATTTAGAGATGGTTCCATTTGATTTGATTTTGTTTTTATTTGACACTACTCTAGTTTTCTATTGTTTTTTAGTTTGAGATCTCATTACTATATTATTTTTTCATTCGTTTTCTCTTGTTTCTTACTTTAAGGTACATTTTTGAGTTTTGATTAGAAAACTTTGGTTCTTTGTGTCATATGCCTTTAACGAACACATTTCTTTGTACTATTCCAACAAATACATGTAAAATGGCCATCTGAGAAAGAAAAATAATAATTATGATGAAGGAGGGGTCGGATGCGTCGCCCGGTCTCACGTTTGTGTACTCTGTCCGGGCCTCAACTCTTTCACGACCTGATACGTCCCAACACTCAAAACTTCCAAATCCCCGACTCATGACCGGTCACAGTTTCGCTTCGCTCCATCCAAAATTTGGGAATTTCGGAAAAACCCTTTGTCAATATAAATCAAGGTCAAAATTGGAATTAATTGAAACTAAATCCTAATGGAACATTCTTATAAATATAAAAGTGTGATGGGACTTTTTTTTTTTGCCAAACAAGTTACTTCATTCATTTAATCGATCAAAATACAAGGGAGGGAATTAAACATCCTCTAGAATTACTACAACATAATTGAGAAGCAATAAAGCATAAAGCAGATATATCATCGCAAAGGATGGACAACGAATCCAAAGCATGCTTCGGATGCGTCAAGAGGGTCTTTGCAGCAAAGCCGGAGAGTCTCAGGTTAGTCACTTTACCATGTGACTTTGAAGTTCCCGGCATAAAGCATGGGGTTCGACCAATCTCCATGAGAGGGAAGAAAATAAGACCATGCTCAAAGAGCCGGAAGAAGGTGGAATTGTCTTCTACAAAATTACAGGATTTGAGAATCCATAAAACTTTGGATTTCCCGAAAGAGAAGTTCCAATAGGCTCAAAAGCATGTAAGATTTTTACAAATCTGATTTTAAAACTAATAGGAATTAGACCTAGAATAATGAGTATAAAACTCCAATTGGATCTAATTAATAACTTGGGCTTTGCAACGCCCATAAACTTCACCAAGGCCCATTTTCCCTCACAATCACCCCACTTGGTAATTGAAGCGTGAGATCGGAGAAAGCCAAGGGGATTTTCCGGCGAGCTAGACCGCTTTTCCGGCCAGATCCGGCCATGAAAGACCGCAATAGGATTGTACGATTTCGGCAAGGATGGGAGATGCAGCCACTGTGCCCGTGTCCAACACTAGAAGAGCGGCGATGAGTCATATCCGGTGGAGACATCTCTGATCCCCTCCAACTGCCGACTAGGGAGACCCAAAGTTCTGGGACAGTGGTGGGTTGGGTACTGGACAACACCAGTCGGAGATGTTGAGCCACTAAGGCAAGAGAAACGTGGCGACTCCCCAGATCTCGTGCCGTTCGGATCTGAGGAGCGACAGTTACGGTGACGAAACATTGCAGGGTTGAGCGAGCGCGTCGATAACGGGAGTGGGTCAGGCGGGTCCAGCGGCTTTGGTGGAGGAAGGGGCTTCGCCTGAACAGTGACCCTGGTCTCGAGTGTTCGAGAGGGAGAGACGGAGAGAGCCTGCAACAGAACCCCAACCTCATCTGACGTCGCTATGGGGTGAGACCAGAGGGAGCCAGCCATGCAAGGAATAGCGAGGAGATTGTGTCTCATCGGCGAAGTACACCGGCGAGTCGAGGAAATGCGGGTCAGTGAAACGGACCCAACCAAGCTGCTCCTCGCCGTCTTCACGCTCGACCGACAACACCACCGAAGATTTATTCTAGTCGGGAAAGACAAGTTTCCGAAGCTTCGAAATTCGTGCCTGAGAGAATACATCTCTAGGGCCAACTCACCAAACGAAGCTCTGTGTCATCCCATTTTATTTTTCTTCCCTTAATGTTTTTTTTTTGCATTGTCAAACTGAATTACGAAATTAAAGATATGTCTGATTAAAATTCAAATCCAAGCAAAATCATAACTATCCATATTTTATTTTATGCTTTACTCTTAACTAGATTAAGGATCCGCATATAGGCGAGTTCTGTAATTTGACCTCTTATAAATTTGTGGATCGGAAAAAAATATTTAGTTATACAAAAAAATTGGATCATCAGTTAAAATAAATAAAATAAAAGTGATAACGTTGTTGGAAAATTACTAATTGAAAAGCATAACATTTATTTATTAATTTTGATACTTTTGTTATTTGATTTAAAATTATATTTTATCACATCTTATCAAATTATTTGTTATTTATATTGAAATTATGTGTATCTTTTTATTTTATTTTCCTATTTTACTACTTAAATATCTATTTTTCAAATGTTGATAAATTTATTCCCATATTTGTATTTGAACTATTTTTAACACAAATCAAACACGAAAAATATGAAAAACAAAATTAAGTCACCCCCATGAAGTGATGAAATAAAATTGAGAATGCCAACAAAACTACTAATAGAGAAATCTATCAAATATCTATTTTATTCTCATATTTATTTTTTATATTATTTAATATTGAATGAATTATTTCATATAAATCCAAATAATCAATTTTTCTTAATTCTATTTAAATTATGTTTAGATTTTTATAATCCTATTTAAATTAGATTTGCTTTTCATTATCACAATTAAATTATACCACATATTTTCAAATAATTAGATTTTTCTAATTCTATTTAAATTAAGTTTAGATTTTCTTAATCTTATTAAAATTAGGTTTATTTTTTACTATTTTACAAATAGAGATAAATCTTTTGACATATGGTTAAATCTAAT